CACAAATCAAATCTCAACAAATTTAAAAGAACAGAAATTATACCTTTATCTTTTCAGAGCATAAAGGAATAAAAGTAGAACTCAACTACAACAAAAAGCTTTAGCCACACACAGAGTCATGGAAACTAAACAATGTTATGCTGATTGAAAGTAGGGCCAGGGAGGAGATAAAGAAGGAAATAATTAGATTCCATGAAGAAAAGAACAATGAAGTCATAAGCTATCAACTTATTCCTCAAACCCTGAGGAATACTGTAAAAGCAGTCTTAAGAGGGAACTATATTGCATTAACTCCCACATCCAAAAAACAGAAAGTGTGCACATCAACAACTTCATCTCAAAGAGCTGGAAAAGGAAGAGCAATCCAATCCCAAACCTGCAGAAGAAAAGAATAACCAAAAATTAGACTGCAATGAAATAAAACCAAGAATAAAAGAACTACAGAGAAGATTAATGAAAGAAAAAGTTGCTTTTTGAAAAGATAAAATTAGTAAACCTTTGGCCAGATTAACTAGAAATAAATTTAAGACACAAAACAATAAAAACTTTAGATGTGGCTTGACGCCCATAGATCAATGGTTAGGGCATCAGCCACATACACCAGAGCTGGTAGGTTCAAACCGGGCCCAGGCCTGCTAAACAACAATGACAACAACAACAACAAAATAGCCGGGCGTTGTGGTGGGCGCCTGCAGTCCCAGCTACTTGGGAAGCTGAGGCAAAAGAATCGCTTAAGCCCAAGAGTCTGAGGTTGCTGTGAGCTGTGATGCCAAGGCACTCTACCAAGAGGAACATAATGAAACTCTGTCTCAAAGAAACAAACAAACAACAACAACAAAAAACTCTAGATGAAAGTATGGGAAAAACTCTTAATGATATAGGCCTGGGGAAAAAGTTTATAAAGATGACCCCATAGGCAATCACAGCAACATCTAAAATAAATAAAAGGGACCTGATAAAATTTATTCATGATCTATGTGTATTTAATAAAATTTAAAAAAAAAAGATTTTGCACATGAGCGGCACCTGTGGCTCAAAGGAGTAGGGTGCCAGCCCCATATACCAGAGGTGGCGGGTTCAAACCCAGCCCCGGCCAAAAACAGAAAAAAAAAAAAAAAAAGTTTTTGCACAGCTAAGGACACAACAAACAAAGAAAAGAGATAACCTTCAGAGTGGGGGGAGATATTTGCAAGTTATGAATCTGACAAAGGGCTAATAACCAGAATCTATAGAAATCTCAAGCAAATCAACCCAATCAATCATTCGGCAAGAGAAATGAACACAGCCTGCTTTCAAGAAGACATACGAATAACAAAAAAACACATGAAAAATACTCATCATCCCTAAGCATCAGAGAAATGCAAATCAAAACCACCTAGAGATAATCACCTAACCCCAGTGAGAATAGCCCACGTCACAAAGTCCCAAAGTGCAGGTGCTGACATAGATTTGGACAGAAGGGAACACTCTTAGACTGTTGGTAAGACTCCAAACTAATACAGTCTCTTTGGAAAGAAAAATGGAGACTCCTCAAAGAGTGAAAAGTAGATCTTCCATTTGACCCCACAATCCCATTACTAAGTGTCTACCCAGAAAAAAAAATCATTTTGCCATAAGGACATTTGCACTAGAATATTTACAGCAGCTCAATTCATAAGTGCAAAGATGTGGAAAACAACCCAAGTGCCCATAAACCATGAATGGATTTATAAACTGTGGTATATGTATACCATGGAAGACTATTCAGCCATAAAAAGATGGAGACTTTATAACTTTTATATTTACCTGGATGGAGGTGAACAACATTCCTCTTAGTAAAGTATCTCAAAACTAGAAAAAGCAGCATCCCACATACTCAGTACTAATTTGAAACTAGTAGATGAACAACTATAGGCCTACATGAGAAGAAAAATGAAATTCAAAAAGTGGGGAGGAGGAAAGTGAGTGAAGGGGCTCAGTAAGGTCCCACATAATGGGTATGATGCAGGGGTACATGGCACTCCTCCTGAGTGAAGGGCTCAAATATAACTCGGACTTTTTCTAACAAATGCACCACAATGTAACCTAATCATATGCACCCTTAATCCAAAATTTACCAAAAAAAAAAAAAAATACTATAAACCAGTGGTTCTCAACTATGGGTTGTGACCCACTGGAACTGTATTAAAGGACCATGGCATTAGGAAGGTTGAGAACCACTGCTATATACAAATATGAATTTCAGTGTTCCTCAACCCTCAGGATCATTTCTTCCTTCCCTTCTCCTGAGGGTACAATTCTCAGGAACTGGGTCATAATCACTTATTCCATGGCACACTGAGGAAGGAGCTGAGGGAAGGAATCATGTGTATCAGCATGGGCAGAAATCAAACATGGAGGGATCAAAGCAGTAACAATGTGAACATGCAGCTTTGTAAACCATGTGGCTGAAGAAAAATCATCCACATGCTAAGTCAAAGGACATTTCAGGGGTTCCAAGTATGAGATGCCATAGATATCTCCTCTGGTCACATACAACCAAAATCAAGATCTCTAAGAAATACTTGTACTTCCATGCTCATTGCCACATTATTCAGAACAAGTGGAGTATGGAATCAGCCTAAGTGCACATTGACAGATGTGTAGGTAATGTTGTATATACACAACAGAACATTATTCTAGTCTTTAAAAGGTAGAAAATGCTGCTATCTGTGACAACATCCATATCCCTAGGGGACATTATGCTGAGATACGCCAGTCATGGAAGGACAAATATCGCATGATTCTACTTACACAATTATCTGAAATAGTCAAACTCACAGTAGAATGGTGGGTTTCACAAGAGCTGAAAGGCAGGGGCAATGGTCAGACGCTAGACAACGGGTGTAGAGTTTCAGTTATCCAACACAAGCAAGTTCCCAAGAGGTGCTGGAGACAGTGTCTACCGTAGACAGTACAGCATTGTGCACTTTAAAGATGTGAAGAGGACAGATCTCACGTTAGTGTTCTCACCACCAAACACCACAGGTGTATGCATGTGCCCAATTCACCAAAATGTGTATGTGCAGTGTTTTGAATATCTATTATATGTGAATAAAGCTAAAAAAAAATGTGGCGAAAAGACACTCAAAGAAAAGGCAGGAAGAAGGGAGTGAGGGAAAGTGACAGGGACGTCAGTGTTGTATGTTCACCCTGCCCAAGGGCCACGGCAGATGCCACTTCCAGACCAAGTGCACCCACCTGGCTCTCCATGTTTCTCCTCTGATGCAGCAACTGTGGAACCTTGTGCTGATGAGGCCCAGTCACTCAGTGAAGATTGATGGGCTTTACACAGCTACATATTGACGTATGCCAGGCTGTAGTCCCTCTGTATTTGGTTTCTGCCCACACTGACATACACTGATCCTTCCCTCGGGCCCCTCCACAGGGAGCCACCAAACAAATAGATACGACCCAAATTCATGAGGCTAGTGCCCTCACCCTCAGGGAGGGCAGAAACAATCCTGGGGCTGAGAGGAGGAAGAGAGAAATTCAAGTTTATCTCAATGTTTTATCTCTTAACAGTACAAGAAACCTTGAGGCAAAGAGGAAAAAATGTACAAAATTCCTCATTTTGGATGGTGAACATATGAATATTTGTAGTACTAGGTTCTCTGATTCCTTTGATTTACGTTTTAAAGATAAAATTTAAGTAGTCATTAAAATTTGGAAAAGGAAAATGTGAAAGTTGTCCAATTTTTAGGGACAACTTAAGCTCTCAACACTAGGCTTGTTCCAAGTGCAAGGAAGGATCTGAGTCTAGAGCCTCTGAAGCCTGCCCAGAAGATGGGGCTTTTCAGCTGCAAGCACACGAGGCCGGAAGGAAGAGCAGACCAAGGTTTGTGATTCAATCCCAGGTACCGTGGCCATGCCCTGTGGGCTCTCTGGGGTGAGGGGCACTGGGTCTCTGAGGACCCTGCTCCATCTGAGAATAGCACAGGTGCACATGCTGATTTTGCTGCCTCAGGAGCTGAAGACCCCGTGAGGGCAGCTTCGCCAGAGGTGTCAGCCTGCCCAGGGCTTGGGAAAGGTGGAGACTGCTAAGCAGAAACTGGGACATTTGGCCACACAACTTCTCTAATTTGGGACTTCACGAAGAAATAACCACAGCTACAGAGTTAGTTAAGAGTCACCAGACCTACACCTGGCAAAGAGAAGGAGAGGCAGGAGGTGGCTGGAGGGTCACCAGGCAGCAACTGTGAACTCCAGAGATGCAGAGTCTGTGAAGCCCACCCCTCCTCCCATAGCCAGTTCCACCACTCCAGTCCTTAGGGCCCTGTTGTTCTGACTGTGACACAGGGTGGTGGAACATGTGGTGAGCTCCTTTGCACTGTATGGGGCAAGGGGTAGGGGTCACAGGAATAAGAGATAACACTTCTGTCCAGCGTCCTCCCATGAGGACTGTCCACCAGGCTTCTGTCACAGCTAGGACTGCCAGTGTTGGTGACAGGACCCCAGGTTGTCTGCAGACCCTGTTCTTCCTTTACTTCTCTATGACAGGGCTCACAGGTTCCACCCTGGGCTGAGCAATTCCAGAAATCCACACCAGGAATGGGGCCCACTGGCCCTACTAACAGCCTGTCATGTGTCAGCCAAGTGTCAGGGCCACACAGAGAATTAAAAATCCCACCCAGGCCAGGCCCCAGGAGTTCAGGCTAGTCAGGGGAGTGTCTGCATTCCTAGGGAATAAAGACAGAAGCCTTTGTGTCTGGTCTCTCATGTTCTTCTGGGAAGGGGGGCAGCTCTAGCCCTAACCCTACCCCTAACCCCGGACAGACTGTGCCACAGCTGCAGACCCTTGGCTTCTGCCTGTGGTCCGGACTCACAGCCCTCCCTGCCCAGCTGCCCTTGCCTCTGCTCACATTCTATCCTCTTCACCCGTGAGTGTGGCAAAGGGGCAGCTTTTGTGTTCTGCTTCCTTGGGAAGGAAGGGTGAACCCCAAGTTATGTCCCAGCTCAGTATGTGGTCATGAGTGACTCACCATTGTAGCGGTGAATGGGATGTTGTCAATCAAGGAGGAAGCCAAGGCTGAGACCCAGACCACCAGGATGATGGCAGCCACGAGGCGCTGGTCCTCTGGGACCATCTGGAAGGAGCAGATAACAGCAGCTGCATTGTTAAACCATGCGTACTGAGGGTCCAGTCCTACAAGACTCGGAAGGATGAGAGGAGTGTCCGTCAATCTTTCTTTGTACACACGGTGAGACTAAGGCAGATGAGGTGTGCAAAGCAGGGCCACACCCACATCAGGAGCTTCGGCTCCTGGGTCTGCAAGTAACTACGGGAGCAATTCCCAGCCACACTGAAGCCAAGCTTCTGAAGAGGGAGGTGGAAAGTCACCCCTGGTGGCTGTCACACCCGTCACCCCTGCCTCACAGCCCAGAAGAGCATGGGGTTGGGATATTTGCATTGTACATTTACTGAGGTGGTGTCACCTGCTGTCCTTAGACAGGATTTAAGTAAAGGCTAAAAGCAAAACAGCAGGCATCTGCAATTATATATTCCTTAGGAAAATGTCTCCCTTCATCTCTACAAGATAAAAAAGGTTCCCTGCTGTACCTTTTACATAATTAATATGACCAGTTCTTACCAGACTTTTTAAAAATAAAAGAACAGTGGCTGGAGCACATTCTATTACAGCATTTATTGTACCTTTATTAGCAAAGCAGTCTGCTCTCCAACATATTCTATTAAGTGGAGGTGTGCCAGCGCCTAGAAGAAAGCAGGTGTGGTGACAATCAGTTTAAACCTGAGCGTATATGCAATAAAGAAAACATGTCTTTAAAATGAAAAGAAGCAAACAGAAGGTAAGGCCAGACTCTCTAGATTCTAGATTAGAATCTACAGAGAGCTCAAATTAATCAACAAAAAATGAGTAAACCATCTCATCTACCACTGCAAGAGATATGAGGAGAACCTTCTCTGATGAAGACAGAGAAATGGCTAACATTTTTTAAAAAATGCTTATCGTCCCTGATCGTCACAGAAATGCAAATCAAAACTTTCCTGAGATATCATCTAAACCCAGTGACAATGGCCCATATCACAAAGTCTCAAAGCTGCAGATGTTGGCATGGATATGGAGAGAAAGGAACACTTTTACAGTGTTGGTGGGACTTGAAACTAATACAACTTTTTTGGAAGGAAGTATGGAGAATCCTCAGAGAACTCAATTTAGATCCTGCAATCCCATTACTGGGCATCTACCCAGAAGGAAAAAAAAAACTTTATAATTAGGGTATTTGCACTAGACTGTTTATCATAGCTCAATTTACAATCACCAAAATGTGGAAACAACCTAAATGCCCCCCAACTCAGGAATGGATTAACAAGCTGTGGTATATGTATACCATGGAAAACTATTCAGTCACTAAAAAAGATGGAGACTTTACATCTTTTGTATTAACCTGCACAGAGGTAGAACACATTCTTCTTAGTGAAGTATCACAAGAATGGAGAAACAAGAATCCATTGTACTCAAGCCAGTAGATGATCTAATACATACCCTCATAAGAGAAAAACTCAACTCAATTCTAGGTGGGGGGTAGGAGAATGAGGAAGCAGGGAGAGGGGAGGAGGGGGAGGAATGGAAGTCACAGTGTGTAGCACACCTCTTGGGGTCAGGACACAATTAGAAAAAATGCAATCAGTGTAACTTAATCCTTTGTACCCTCAATGAACCAGAACCAATTAAAAAAGAAAAAAAGAAAGTAACATCAGAGGTCTAAGCTAGATTACGCTGTTCTGCCAAATACCAAACAGAGAGGGTGCCAGGTGTATCTGCGTCCCCCCTCCCACAATGTTGCATGTGCATCCTGATGTGGGCCTACAGGCAATTATCCCAAATATCAGGGTCTATGATATGTAGGGTTAAGAAGACAAAAAATAAAATCTTTAAAATGGTTGAACAGTGCATCTAATAACTCATCTCAAAACAACTTAGTTCTTTTAAAAAAGTCAAAAGGAAAATACAAATATCTTATCCTCTTTTATAAAGTGACAAAATAATTGTGTAGCACCTCCCTCCATCAAGCCTGGAGTTGTAAATGTAGCTGAAGATTATATACATCCCTTGTCTCCTCCATCAGTTTACACAGTGAAAAGATGCCTCTGCAGTATACATAAATCACAATGTGAAATATTATTCTTCTGTTGCATAAATACTGATTCAGCAATTGTCTGACATCCTTGTCCCCTGGAAATAAATCAGTACAATAAGTCACTGCTACCAGTTCTTTCAAAATGATGGACTAAGAGTCCCTTCTGCAGCCAAATGAAGAAACCCTGGAAAAAACACTTTTTGGAGCATCCTGAATTACCAAGACTGTGTAAGGTCTTCCAGGTAATCTCTCTGCCTGTGAAAATGTTTCCTGAATCTGGCTGGGAGCTGGAAGACATGGGTGGCAGACAGGAATGGAATCTTGATGCTGATCAAGCACTGAAGGTGGAGGTGGCATAGAGCACCAATGAGGATGCAGGCCAGTATTTTTCAACCTTTTTTTATTGCACAGCACACTTGAAGCTACAGTTAAACTTCTATGGGACACTTAAATTCCATTGATCAAGAAAAGAGTAAGAAAAGATACTTACTGTGCTTTGAACTTATTTTGAAAGTAATTTATTTAATGATCTTTGAAATTTTTATGGCATACCTAAGATCCTCTCATAGTACATCAGTGAGACAATATTTAAAAACTGCTTTAGCTATTTTGATTTAGTCCTTTGGATTTCTATATAAATTATACAATTAGCTTGTCACTCTCTGCAGAAAATCCTGCTTTAATTTTGATTAGGATTACATTTGAATCTCTAAGTCAATGTGGGTAAAACAGCCATCTAAACAATACTGAGGGGGCAAAGAAGATGTGCCCAGCAAAGGGTCCTGACAGAGGGAGAAAAACTGTACAGAATTGCACTCTATAAAGCCAAATGTGGGGAGCTGAGCCAAGAAAGAAGTTCAGCAAGCTGTGACTCCAAGGAAAAGTATTCAAGAGAACAAATTTCAGGTACAAAGCCTATCACCTAAGGATGGCAGACTCCTCCATCAAGTGGGAGACTCACCATAGGCTCTCTCCAAGCAAGTAGGGGACAAAAGATCTCTCAATTTTACCCCACTGGAGAGAGCTGCTAAACCTAGATCTCCTTCTCCAGGGAGGTCCCTCGTGTGAACCTAGATACCACCCTGCCCAGCATAAAATTGAACAAATATTTTCCCTGCAATTCTGTTCACCCTTCTCCCCTCACATGGTGGTCTGAAAGTTCTGCCTCCTGCAGAGCCCACAGTGTCTGGCCCTTTCCTGAGAGATCTGGGCATAGTGTGGAACATTAAACAGCAGCATGGAATTTATGACTCCTGGGTAAGAAGGAGGGTGCGGGAAGAAAGGGACATGTGGTGGGAGGAGGAGAATTCCCCTTGTTATGACTGTGCCCAGCCCACTGTGGTGTTGACCCCAGTTCTGGCTGTGTCTGGAGGGCAGGGGCACAGAACCCCAGTCCTGACTGTGCCAATGGGTGGGGACACAGACCTCCGGCTCTGACAGTGCTTATGAGTGGAGGTGTGGACACCTGTTCAGACTGAGCCCAGCAGGTGGGGTCAAGGATCCTCAGTTCCAACTAAGACAGTGAGCAGAGGTATAGATCCCCAGTGCTGACTGTGCCTAGGGGCAGGGGTGCTGATGGGCAATTAGCAGCTCATCCAGCTTGTTGGACCACCCACTCCTCTTAGGTTTGGGGGACAGAACTAATTGTGGATTTCTGTCCACCACTGGAGATCCTTAAATCCCTCTGTTGAGCAGGATTTCTACTTCCCAAGACAATCTGATTGGAACTCTCATCTAGGGATGTCCATCCAGGACACTCTGAGGTTGACCTGCAGAAGTTTTGTAGCAGAAAAGAACTGAATGGTGGGGGTAAGGCACTGAAGCTGCCTGTATCTCTCCCCAGATGAGATTTAAACCTAATACTGTGACTTCTTAGGATTGGGTAGAGGTTGGCTGATTTTAAAACAGAGCCAACTTGTGCTATCTCACCAAGTAGGTCCTCAGAGTCTCTGGCCAAAACTCTGAAAGGGGCCTTTGTAAGGTTGTAGGGAATAAGCCACAATTGCAAGGCCTAGTGCTTTGGTAAGGGGCTGATTAACCCTACTACCTGGGACGCCCAATTCAATCTTACTTTACCAGTTTTAATAACCAAATGGTGGAATATAATCTTAGGGTGGAACCAATGGAAGAACCCAGCAACATGAATAATCAGAGTAGATCAGACCCTCACCCCACTAAGGAACAACAAAGGAGATACAATTTAAGATGCCATGCATATACAAATGGCTGAAATGTCAGAAATCGAATTTGGAATATGGATGGCAAATAAGATAAATAGAATGGAGGAAAAGATGGAAATAGAAATCCAAAGAGTAATTCTAAAGTTGTCTCAATAAATTAATGAATTCAAAGACAAAGTCACCAAGGATACAGACATAATGAGAAACGAGATAGCAAAGATCAAGGAAACAAAAAAGTTATTTGAGGAGTTCCAAAATATAGTAGAATCCCTGAGTAATAGAGTTGACCAGGTAGAAGAAAGGATCTCTAAAATTGAAGACAGTCTTTGAATGTTCTCAAACTCTCAAAGAGGTAGACAAATGGAAAGCCAATAGTGATTCCCTGAGAGAGCTGTGGGACCACTCCAAAAGATCAAACATTCACCTTATAGAAATTACTGAAGGAGAAGAGGATGGTCCTAAAAGTACAGGTGCTCTACTCCAAGATATTATGGAGAATTTCCCAAGCATTGCAAGAGATAAAGAAATACGGATAGTAGACAGTTTCAGAATCCCAGTAAAACTCAATCCAAATAAAGCATCTCCTAGACACATTATAATTAACTTTGCCAAAGTTAATATGAAGGAGAAAATTCTGCAAGCAGCCAGGTATAAGAAAAGCATTACCTACAAAGGGAGAAATACTAGAATGATTCCAAATCTCTCAGCCAAAACCTTTCATGCCAGACGAGGATGGTCATCAATCTTTAATCTCCTAAAACAAAACAACTTTCAGCCCAGGATCCTGTTTCCAGCTAAACTGAGTTTCATTTGTGATGGAGAAATCAAATACTTTACTGACTTACACATGTTGAAGAAATTTGTCATAACTAAACCAGCTGTCCAGGATATTCTCAGACCCATCCTTCACAATGATCAACACAATGCTCTACCACCAAAGTAAACTCACTCAGAAATTTATGAACAAAACCCAACTTCCACAGTAGTGAAAGGATTAAAAATATCCGCTGGATATTTTTAAAATATGACACCCAAAACACTACCATGCTAATTAATGCTCTCAATTAATGTCAATGGTTTAAATCGTCCTCAAAAGAGGCACAGGTTGGCTGACTGGATACATAAACTTAGATGAGAGATCTGTTGCATACAAGACTGTTATCATACCTTAAAGAATAAAAATAGACTCAGGGTGAAGGGATGGACATCTATACTCAGGCAAATGGAAATCAGGAAAAACAGATGTTGTGATTTTATTTCCAGATACAATTTGCTTTAAACCAACAAAGACAAGGAAAGATAAAGGTGATCACTACATATTTGTCAAGGGAAACACTCAACACGAAGAGATTTCAATTATTAACATTTATGCACCCTACCAGAATGCTCCTCAATTTATAAAGGAAACCCTAACAGATATGAACAATTTGAT